GAATTACAGCATCACAATCACATCATTATACACCATAGACACAAAGACAAACAAGCTTCAGTCTCTCAGCTACCCACTTCTTCCTCTCAAGGTCATGGGGGGGGGGGGTCACTGGTGTGCGAGAGGTGGGGTACACCCTGGACTGGTTGCAAGTCCATCACAGAATCACATTGAAACAAACTAGACAACCATTCACTCTCTCACTCATACCAACAGACAATTTAGACTTACCAATTAGCCTAACATGCATGTTTTGGTCTGTGGGAGGAAACCGGAGTGCCCGGAGAAAACCCATACATTCATGGATGAAGAGTGAGAACATGCAAATTATATAGCCATATGTATATGTTAGCTTGGGTGCTAACGCGACAGCACCAGCTCAGGCGCCAACACTAGTGCCGTATATATATGCATTAGCTCAGGTGCTAACACTATCACCACACATACTGTATGTAGATTTTCCTCTCTGTCAATGGCGCCCTGGTTTAATTTAAAAGGGCTGATCTTCAGATATAGTACAACACTAGAATCAGGATGGACAGAGCTCCATTTTACTTTGTGGTGTAAATAAAATGGCAACATGCATTATATATATTTTTATTTTAAATTTATAAAAACTAAACAGCCTGCAGTATTTTTACAGTTGAATTAAATGTTAATCAAATAATGTTTAACATTACAACTACTCCGGGTGTCCTTGTAAAGCAACAGAACTTACCTTTTTTATTTTATGATACTCTTGAAGTATCTGATTGTGGATTGTCTGTTGAGGAAAAAACAGAAATGTGGATTATAAAGAGGGTAAATTATTTTTAGCAGTTATTTTGACGCATTCAGTCTGCTTTTATACCGTGTACTTGTCTGTGCCGTGTTGAAGTTGTTTCAGCTCGTTGTCCAGCACGGTGAACTGACGKGTTATTTCCTCTATTCGAGCGTGCAGACTTCGGTACTCGCTGTACTCCGCGTTGAAATCATTTTTATAACTTTGACGCTGCTCTGGAGAACTAATCGATGTGTACTTCCTGTGATTAGAAGTAAAAAACGTGTAATTTAGCAGAAAAAAAAGCACAAAATATACAGAAAAGTTTAAGGGCTTCACAGGAGAAATAAGTCACTGGATTTATTTTACACAGACTTTAGACATTTGGTTGTCATTTTTAATTTCAGTTCTTCCTGTCAACAGCAGATTTTGTTCTCCCTTATAAAACATAGTAGTGTGGAATTTTATGTGGTCCAGAATATTACAAATATATCTTTTCTCATGATAAAGTAAACAATTTGATGACACATTTGTTTCCCAAAGCAGAATTACAAAGACATCACTTCCACAACGATGCACAAAGCAGTTCTGTTCAATCAGACAGTTTCCTCCTTGTTTCAAGCGGTGTATGAAATGTTTCAGTGCAGAGAAAGAAATATTGTTCYGTTTGCAGAAATGAGTGGGACCAGTGAAGATGAGACTACAGGAGGACAGGCCTCCGAACAAACACAATAACTTATTAAATGTGGAAGAAAGCCGTTACTGTTGAAGAAATTTATTGTTTAAGATTTTGAGAAGAAAAAATAAAAAGAAAAAACAGCAGAATACAAATGGAGCTGCACAAGGGAAAGCAAACAACTCAAGGACTGATGTATTGATGACTAGGTGCACTCTGAATGATAAAAGCGGCTTACAAAAAGCTGTCTATAGCTGTCCTCTTGTTCCAGARTCAGGACTTAGGGGCAGCAGCAGACCTCTTTCCACAGACACCTCTTCCAGGCCAGCTGAGAGACAGTCTCTCTAAAGTCTGTGCCTGTATGCAGCTCTCCTCGGTTTAGCCTCGGACACAAGTGTCTTCAGTTCCAACCACCTCTAAGGTGGTTCCAAACAGGTAAAACCCGAGTATTGCGTGCTTACACTTTTAACATCAGCAGACATCTGCTCACAGATTGGCTGAGTCAAAGCAGAATTTGCAAACTCCTATATCAAAATCCTCCTGGAGAGAGGTGCAGGAGCTACAGCTTGAGCTGAACGGAGCCGTCTGAAATTAACCGATATCCTGGGAGGTTTTGGACAAACTGGCTGCTCATGGTTATGCACACTTATAAACAGTGTCGCGACAAATAGTAAAAAAAACGTCACGACCGAATGATAAAACCACAAAAGCTTTTTTTCTCTCACCACACRGTTGTTTCTGTGTGCTGAGGATCTGAATTCAATCATGCCCACAGAGTGAGGGACACACTGACGTAGAGAAACAAACACCTGAGAAGAACTGAACAGACACAAACTGAATAAAGTGAGACTCGATAAAGGAGACGGGGTGGAACATGTCCTGGGTCATCGCCAGGGTGTCCTCCCAGTTGGACATGTCAGAACACGTCCCTAGGGAGGCGCGCAGAGGACATTTTTACTAGACGAACCACCTCAACTGGTTCCTCTGGATGCTGGTGAGGATTCTCAGTCATCCAGGTCATGATCAATCCAAAAAAGGTATAAAAAAAAAAAAACACCAACAACAACAACGACGACAACTACTGGACTTCTATTCTGAAGCTGAAGAAATACAGGAAGCTTTCTCAATAGATGGTTTTCATTGACGTCATCATTTGGGACTTTTTTACCCACCGCACTCCGTTCGTGGGCTAGTATTTAGCTTGTAGCGATAAAACCAGTATGGGAGAACCACAAAAGCAAGGGAGAAAAAATGCAAAAAGGCCACCGAACGACGCAGACGAGCATGACCAGGATCATAATACTTTGTATTTAAAACGTGCCTTTCAAGACACCCAAGAATCTACTGGATAATAAATCTAAATCAAGGTATTTAGCTTTATTGAAAGTAGTGATCCTTACGAACTGCTGAAGTCTGCAGAGCCGACACGGAGGCTGTGTTGACATGACTGTGTGTGACTTTCTCTGATATTATTAGTAATTATATCTTACATACTCCAAATGTGTACATACTGCATAATAATGAGCTTTTTGTGATTATAATCTGATACTGTCAGTGCATCCTACTTTCGTGTTTACAAGGGTAGATTGCATAATATTCAAAACACTTTTCTGTTCATAGTGCGCACTTTTTTAATTTTAGTTAATTAACGCACTATGTGGTCACTAACCATGGTAGGAGTGATCTGAACACACTGTGGAATCCTGAGGAGGGTGAAACCTTTGTAGTTAATTATTGCCAGCCACAAAATCACGTCACTTTGCCGACAGTTCTAATTCTCCTTAGTTTTTTTACGCCGGCTGTATTTTTTTTAAAGAGCATTTCTATGCCACATGAGCAGCACAGTTTTGTAACTAACTCGAACGCAAATTTGTTCCATGACTGTTAAAACAACTTATAATAGAAACATACTACATAAACAAGCTAGACTGTATTCATTTCTGTGCTGTAGACTATCCCCTCTTCCGCATTTGCAGCCATGAATATGGCGATTTGATCACGTGATCTGCAGGTCGCTATGTCCTTTGAAAACCATCTATTCAAAACGTCTGGATTGTGGAGTTCCAAGTTTTATTGACCTGAGGGGCATAGTTAATGCTTACATTCACATGTGGAGTAGGGCTGCCACAAACGATTATTTTAATAATCGATTAATCACCGATTATTTATTCGATTAGTCGACTAATCGGATCATACATTAATTGAATATAAAACAGCTTATCACGTCAGAATGCAGCTGCTATTGTATAACCATCATTAGATTTTAGCTATATGCTAACTAAAAATAATTGCTGTGGAAGACAAGTTCTGCTCTGCAGATATTACACAGGTTTTTCTTTCATTTTCTTAAAAAGTTCCCACACTTTTGAGCTCCATTGTCAGGTAGCCATGACACCAGAGCCTGTCTGTATAATGTCTTGTGACGTCCACGGCCTACCCCAGTTACCACTACTGTGCATGTGTATCAAGGACAGAAAGGCAGATGTGGCAGTGGAATGTGTCAAAGCAGTTTGGAGAGAAAAACAAAGTAAAGAACAACAAAAAAAAGAAAACGATTAATCGATTATTAAATTAGTCATCGATTATTTTAATAATCGATTAGTCGTCGATTAATTGATTAATCGTGGCAGCCCTAATGTGGAGTAGACTTGAACTTCTTGCCCCTCACAATGGAAAGCTGTTGGCCTGGCTCACAACAAAGATGGTTGGGTCACATGCATGAAGATGTGAATTGGGTGAAACTGAGTAGGAATCAAACCTACTGTATAGATGGGATACGGAGGGGTGCGGAGGGTGAAAAATCCCAGATGATGACGTCAATGAAAMCCATCTATTGTAGGTTTTTCAAAGCTGAAAACTGAGACCTCCTCTGTGTAAGGTTAGTTTTTCTTGTTCGACACAAAAGGCTTCTTTTAATCTCCTCTTTAAGCAAACTGTCTTCTTTGTCTGAAATATGAACATTTTGGTTCTTAAACAGAGGAGGAGAATAAGTCCTGGATAATTGAACTTCTCCCCCCATCTCTAAGGGAGAGTCCAGCTACCCTGTGGAGAAAACCCCTTTGGACTGCCTGTATATGCAATCTTGTTCTTTCGGTCTCTACACAAAGTTTGTGACAATAGGGGAGGGTAGGAATGTAGACTGACCGGTAAACAGAGAACTTCACAGCAGAGCTACCTCTTCACAACAACAAACCAGTACGAAGTCCACAACACAAATAACTGTACCAATCAGACTGTTGATCTAATGCTCCGTTCTTCCCTAACTCATGAACAAAACCCTGATAAATAACAATGTTTGTTTTTTCGTGTGTGTGTGTGTGTGTATATTATATATATATATATATATATAAAACACATCAGGTTCTGACACCTGAACATCAGGCTTATATTTGAGGTGTTTGTATTTCTGCTCCGTGTTTGCATTTGTACTTAAAATGCAAATCTGAACATCACTTTTATTAGATGTAAAAACTCCTATTAAGATGTGTGTTTTTAGACAACTACATTATATTGTTACCAAAGACTCCTGAGCAAAATAACAGAATCCAGACAGTATTGTTTTAGACTAAATGATACATCGAGGTTGCTGCTGCTTGGAAACTATCCCGTATTTATATTAATAAATGCAGCTACCTGCAACTAGATATAATGTTCATTGTTTTTTTTTGTCCTTTAACACCATTTTCTTTTACACATTTTCAAGCTATACCATCCACCCCTAATTTGTATTAATATAATCCCTCTTTTAGGAAATGAACTTCGTCATGTTCAGCACTGCACCCTGATCCTCAGATTTATATCTGTGTGCTCAGATTTGACAGACCTATGATCATCTTGTGACTAAATTGCAGCGCTGAATGAGATGTGAGTCAGCTGCAACTGTAAAGTGTGATGGCAAAATGACACGTTTTCAGATTCCCAGTGAACATGAATTCCTCGCCTTTTTCCCCTCCCGTCTTTGCTTTTTCTGCCTCAGTGTGGCACCAATCATGCTAAAAAAAGCAGATTATTTTCAGTTCATTTTGGAACTCAACGTCTTTTCCAGCAGCACAACTTCAGTAACACTGAAGAGATAAAACTTTATATACTTACAATAAATAGTCCGCTACTTCAGGTGATGAAGAAATACTGGTACTGTTGCACATTCCATTCAGATCTGAAACAAGACGAGTACATTTATGTCCTAAAGATGACATCAGCCGTTTAAACTCTGGTGAATATTGCAGATCATCAGCAGGGGTCTCACTTCAGTCATTGAGAAACATACTGGTCACATGACTCATCACTTACTCACTGAGATGACTAACTCCACTCATCCGCAAACATCAAGCAGCTTTTTATTGAGAAAATTCCTCACCGGATGCTCTGTGTGTGTGTGTGTGTGTGTGTGTGTGTGTGTGTGTGTGTGTGTTGGTCCCACCTGTGCTTTTGAGTGGAATACTGTTCTTTAGATCTCTTGGGCTCATCTTAAAGACAGCGTGGGACTCCTCGCCACTCTTCTTGTCCTTTCCTCTCCCCTTCTCCTTGTCTTTATGTTTTTTAGACTTCTTTTTGGTTTTGTTGTTTAAGGAGGAGGAACTATTGTCCTGCTGTGGGCCCTTCAGCACCGTGTGTCCAGTCGAGGAGGTGCTGATGCTGGGTGCAGGAGCCACAGATGATGCAGGACAGAATGAAGGCGGTTGGCTGAGCCTCTCGGACACGGCCGTTTCCTGAGAGTCACACTCGCGTCCGTTGTGGCTCGAGTCATTGCTGACGTCAGACAGCGCTTCAAAAGGACGAGGGATGTCCAGCACAGGAAGCGGCTGCGAGCTGGACGTTACGCCGCCGTCAGACACAGACCCAACTGACTTTGCGCCACCCGTTTCTCCTCTGCTGCTGGAAAAGCTGAGCTTGCCATTTACTGGGGCCGTTGCAGTCTTGTTGGTGAGATGTGATATTCTCGGCTTTTTATTGACGAGAGGGTCGATAAAGTCAGCAGCAGGACGTTTCTGGCAGAAGATGAATAAATAAAATCAGTGGCTTTAATGGCGAATCCTTGAAAAGGATGTAGTACAAATTGTTTCATTTAGGAGAGATCAAGGAGAAAACGTAATCCAGGTCAGAGCAAACCAAATAACACAGAGCCTCTGACTGTGCTACTTTTCCCACAACAGAGATTATATTACAGACAGGCTGTGTTCGATCGGGCCTGGCAGATCCAGTCACTTAGAATGGTTCAAACAGAAACTGAGTGAGAAACTTTGGTTGCATTAAAAGACTCTTCTTTCCCCAACAAGTAATCATGATGACATTTATTTTAGCTTCACTGGTCTTCTACAGAAAAAAATAGAACTAAAGGTCCTTTGAAAGTAAATAAATGAATTTATAGGAATCCTGATATTTTACTGATGGTGGTCAGAGGGTTCGGTGGTGCCGGTGCATGGCAGCCCCGCCTCTGTCAGTGTGCCCCAGGGCAGCTGTGGCTACAATGTTGGGCAATATTGGCAAAAAAAATTATCACGATTAATTGTGGTATTTAGCATATAACGATTAATTTGACGATTAATCCCCTGGAGCCCCTGGACATCCTTATGTCCTGGTCACATGACCAATTTAGTGGGGAAGATTTCCTCTTCATAAAAATCTGTTCCAACAAAATTACAGACTTCAGGCTATACATCAAATATGAAATTGTGTTGATAAATAAATTGCAGAATTATTTAATATTTGTCATATTTGAAGTGGAGAGGAGCACCAAGCAGACTCTGCCTGGTGGCATTAATCGTATTAATCGTCAAGTGCCAAAAATAATCGATTAATGTTTTTCTGACGATTAATTGCACACGATACGATTATGCCCAACCCTAGTGCATGGGTGAATGTCTGAAGTGTAAACTTGGGGTCCAAGTGGACTTGATAAGGTGCTATATAATTTCAAGCCATTTACCATCCTTTATCAGACCTCATTTGTATTACAAAAATCCCTCATTTACACCAATCTGAAGATAACAAACAGCTCTTTAACTCTTACTGTAAAAGTGAATAAAGACGACCTTAAATACTGCTGCTGTTCTGAAATGTGTAAATAAGAAAATTCACATAGCAACTTTATTTTAGCCATAAACAAACAGTTATTGTGCAGCAAACTACGTGTGAGTAGAACGGCAGGAGTAGAACGTCAGTCCAGGAGCAGAGAAGTGAGACAGGAGGAGGATGAGGCTCACCTGAATTGGAGAACTGCTTGGCAGCTCTTTGGGAGGACTCTCTGGAACAGGAGCAGAACTGTTCTGTTTCCTGTGTGAAGTCATGCAACCAAAGACACGTGTAAGACGACTGACGAAATGTCACAAAGTTTACCTTCTAAAACTCACTGTAATTTGTACAAAAAATCAGTTTAGGCAACAAGGAAATGCACTGGGCCAAATGCGGCATTGAAAATCCTAAACAGAATCAACACTTCAGTTTGAGAGCTTAACCAGAAATGTGATCACAAAACCATCCAACCAACCAGCCAATGTACACGACCTACCTACCCTTCTCACTTATCCAAATGACCTACACAGCCTACTTGTCTACAACCCTACTTATCCTTCCTACATACCTATTCACTCTACCCACCTATCCTACTGACACTCATCCACCCAATTTACCCTACCTACCATAAGTACTTACCCATCTACTTAACTAACCTAACCAAATTTTGGCAATTAAATCTGTACATTTTCCCTTATTAGAACATTTGTAGTGTTTTAAGTTATTTTTTTTATTATTCTTTGTAATATTTTGTGATGTTGGACACTTATAAATGTTTATTTAATAACTTCGCAATGATGGCAGCTTGTTGAAGACAAGTGAGACAGTGGCATGACACTCTGCAGTGAGAGAGAAAGTGACGAGGAGAGAATATGGTGCTGCAGCTCATTTGGAGAATAGATGATATTTGGCTAATTTACCAATAAAGACACAGACTTTCTGCTTATTCAAACATAAACTGGAATTACCTTGACGGCTTCAGGTATGAACAGAACCTCATCGTGTACCAGATTAATCTGTCACACTGTACCAGCCAAACAAAGAGCTGTGCCACTGCCAACATAAAGCTGTCAAACTAAGACAATCTGTGCTTATATCAGCAGAGAAGAAGAAGTGGATTCTCATGATGAAAAATCTAAAATGTACTTTTTGTTTCAACATGTACACAAATAAGTGAATATTAAAGCTGAATTTAAGCTCTGCTGCGTAAACAGTACTAGTTCAAGAGTCCACAATATCAAACATTTTGGTTAATGTGGTAAAAAGTATGTTACGGAAAGTTACGGATGGTAATATCAGTAGGACAAACTTCATATAAACGTCTGCTCCACCCCTGTTAAATACGAGTGTGTGGGTCTGTGGTGAGGACACACTCTGCCTCCCATCTCACTCGGAGACCCCGCTTGTGTATCAGACAGTTATGGGTGAACTTTGGACCGATGCCACCTTACACAAAGATCAGCATGTGCTGGAACACTGTTGCATCATGTACGACTGTCATGTTGCTCTGCTGCTGTGTGACTGACTGGAGGAACTGAGGAGGGGGAGAATGGTACTTAGTGGGCGCTCTGGCTCTTAGTCAGCTGATAAAAATCATAAACAAAAAGCACAAAGTGCAGTAAAAAGACAAACAGGAAGCAGAGCGGGCAAACGAGTTACAAAATATATTTAGGAAGTATTAAATATATAGAATGATAAAATACAGAATCACCTTTGAAAAACATCATAGCTGTTAATCATAAAAAATACAACTGTACTTATTTTAGACACTGTTTTTCTGGATACAACTGCTCTGGATTACACTTCACACAGACACACACATCTATTTATCCCAACTGGTTTTGTGCTGCAGTTAAATTTCACACAACAAAATTAACTATTCTAGAATCTATTCAATAACAACTAATAGCAAACATTAACAAACACGCTTTTCAATATTCAAGATCCTAAGAACATTTATTTTTACTTCAATGATATACGTAGCAAATACACTTTGAGAAATTTTAAAGTTTTTAAAAAGGTGCCAAAGTAAAGTATTAAATTCACAGATATACAAAGATTGGGTCAAATCTGCAAGAATTACAGTATCAGTCAGGTTATCAAGAATAATTCATCTTGTTTTTTTTTTTAAGATCAGATCACAGGTTTACACACCAAAGACAAGAAATTGTATTAATTTGATTGTAAAAACAGAGTACCTAAAATATTTCACTGAGACATTAAACCAATGTTTGATAAAAAAAAAAGAAAGAAAAAGCACTGAAGACCAGCATTAGCATGACTTTGGTAAAATACACTTCTTCCAGCTCAGATTTGTGACTCACCGAGATAAAATTCTCTTGAGAAGCTGCTGGTCTCCTTCTGTGTATCCTGGCCAATCCTTTTGGATTTCCTTATACATAACGTCCTTCAGAGTGAATGTGTTTTCTTTCACATTCAGGTTGGCAACCTAAGAAAAAACAAATAAATACGCATCACTAATGAATTCACTAATCTACAGAATAAGTGGGAATGTTATTTCTGAGGTTAAAAACAGTTCTGCAGTAGAACATTTTGTGTGGATGAGTGACCTGCTGCAAATGGCTGTCCAGAGAGTCTTTGTCCATCAGYGAGAGGCCATCCTTCTGCAACCTCAAGATCATCTCAGGTTTCTTGTAAGGCTTGAGGGCCAGCAGGTGTACGAGGCGCTCACGGAGAGGCCGGTTCTGCGTCATGCCTTTCTTCAACGTACTGCTGGAGATGAGGACGGGTCGAGACGTCCTCCGTGAAGGGGCGACATCTGAGAGGGCAGGTGCCGGTTTCCGGATCTGCACCTTCTTACCTGAGAGATGATACAGGGGTGGGGGAGTTCAGAGAGAATAACAAGAAGAAAACATCATGTACAWACTAAAAAAGCTGCACAATTTTTGTTTAAAAAAAATTCATATACGAGAAAAAAAAACAGTCAAAATTCTGGAAGTTGTCGACCCCTTCAACATTATTCCTGGTACAATAACACATTATAAACTCAACTGTCCACTAAAGTACAACTGGGCTGTAGAGATGTCCTTAAGAATGAAGAACTAAATCTCCAAATGGAGAAAGTCTAACAACATCATAAAAAAACATATAGAGAGATCCTTCCTGTTGCAACAAAGCTCAACAAATCAACACAAACACCAGTTGCCACCGACTCGCCCTTTATACACAACACTGGTGTTTAGCCAACTGCAGTTCTTACCAGTTATCCACAAGCTAACCCAGTTCACGGCCCAGGAGAATAAGAATTTTTAAAAACTGTAAGAGAAATGATTTTCACCTTTACTCTAACTAGTATAGCTACGTATGGCCTTGAAAACAGTTTCAGTTTGATAGCAGTACACTTGCTTCATGAGAGGTAAGAATTGTTTTATTATATATCAAACAAAAGGAGGAAAAAACCCTGGTTTTAAAAACACACTCATAAATGTGCACTTAACCTGAGACAGAAACAATATTTGGACTTTACTAGCTGCTGTAGAGTTATTGGGATAAAAACAGTGTATCTACAGAAACTTTACTTCACAAGTGTCATGCAGCAGGTTCAATACCAGTTCAATACCAAGCTCTGTGCATTTAAATGTGTGTGCAAATTCAAGGACAAAGAGTGTGTGTGAGGTAGAAAAACTTCTCTGTTATGATTTTAATTGTGTTTGGTGGACATATGTTTTTATGAGCTTTTAGACAAGACTTTTTTTTTCTCAATGACACCACACATCTATGTTTTAAATGACAGATCTTGAGTTAGAATTAGCTCCGGCTAATTGTCTTACTTGTTTAGTTGTGAAGCTAATTTATTAGTTAGCAAATTGCGGTATTTTTAGTTAGCTTTACTCACCACTAGTCACTTTGCTCTGCTGGTAAACGGGTCCTAAAGATGCTACATGCATAGACACAAGAAGCATGGTGCAGTTGTGCAGCACTGAATGTATTTTTGTTTTTATTAATTGACTTAAAGTCAGCAGAACTAAATTTAGCAAACTAAACAGTCTGCTAATGAAAGATTAGCTTCACTTTTAGCTGTTAGCAGATTAGTGGAACGGTGCCCACCACTTAAAAGTTACTCAAACTGACTTTACACAGACGTTATACAGACTTTTGCTATGTTTACAGGACACAAAAAATCTTCCATTTTTTTCTAGTAATTTAGTCAGTGCTTGACAACTTGATGACATTGCAATCCAGATTTTCCTTTGTCCTTGTTACACAAAAGGTACTGAATGCCAGTTTTTCCTACCATGTGGCTATAAACTTTCCAAACTGTTCTTGAATCTATTCCATTTCTCCTCACCTACATATCTTCCTCCAGGTTTGATGACGATGGCGCTCCTGCTGCGAGTCTCCTCCTCCACCTGTGCCATGCTTTCTCTGGCCTTTTGGTAGGAGTCGTCAGTGGCTCGTACTGTTATCTTGTCCTGAATAGTGCCCAAACAATCCAGCTGAATACTCCCTTTACTGCAAAAACACAAAGACAGAAATACAATGAGTACTGTGTAAGATTTTTGAAGTCTTTTACCCCACAAAAACTGAACACTAACTGACAACTAAAATTTAATTATTAGAATTAATATTTATACATTTATACATTAAAAGATTCTAATTAATTCATCACTTTACTTACTGCCAAGATTAGATCCAATAAAGCTTCTGAGGGTATAAGTTTATTTATTTTTTATTTTCATCAAACTTTGGGTTCCACAGTTTGACTCACTGTCACATCAAACCCTATTCACTCCAAACTTTTTAGCTTGCTTTGATTTCCCTCCACTTTGATGGGGATTTGGCAGAAAATGAGATGGTGCTGACACAGTCAGAGCAAGCTGAACTCTGTGATTTGGGTTTTAGGTTGCAATGACTGGGCGGTAGATCTGAATGAACCACGCCTGACCCACTTCTTGGATATCCAACCTGATTATTCAGAAGGTATTTATAAGAAGCAGGAAATACAAGATTCTTGTTCCTTACTTTCTTTGACACAAACCTCCAGTTGTGATCATGTAAACTTGATATATAAACATTAAATAAAAAGTAAAGAAATAAGTGTTTGGTACATTATTTGTTCTAACAACACTTCTTGGCAATAAATCTTACATGGGGCACCTGATTGGTAGCATCTGGGGGTTTAAGAAGCTCAAAACAAGTGTCAATAGCAACAGCAAAATAAGCTGTTTGACAGAAAAGATTTGGCAAATCATCCATGTCCGCACATACTACTGCTCATCCCACAAATGCACGTTCCTTACAAATGTGGCACCATTCCGAAATGAAAACAGGCTTTTTATCAGTTTTCATTGCCAAGAAGCATTTTACAACAAAGAAATAACCTACCAAATACAAATTTCCTTACTTTGTGCTGTTTATATATCAGAATAAATAAAAAGAGAGTGTAAATATATAAAAATAATTATGGCTTCACCTGGTAATGTACTGCTGGATGCAGTCAAAGCTGCCCTGAGGGTTATCTCTGCCCACATTGGACAAGTCAAAAGTAAACGTTTGCAGTTCGCTGGAATTTTCTGACCGTGGTATTGAAATTTTCTGTTGAGGACAAGATGGAAAAACAAAAAAGTTAAATTGAGATGAGTTTCTAGAATTCACATTAAAATGGCACGCAGCAGAAAAATAGACTAAAAAACTGATTTTAAAGAAGTTTAGAAATCTCCGTCCTTTCATACAACCATTCACATAACTGCACCCTTGCATTCATTCCAGCTCTACCCTCTTTTCTTTTGAACTATCAGGACAAACTGAGTCGAGCATTTTCACCGAGGTGTAAAATTCCTCACAGTTATTTAGAAAAACAAGCTGCTGGGAACTGCTTTTGTCAAGGTACTTTGACAAGTGATAAATGTAATTTAGACAATGCTGACTTCTAAATGAGCAGTGTGGAAGAAGGAGCAGAGAACATGTTGAGGACAGAGACTTTGTCTTGAAACAAAATTTCTTTCACTTCAAATCTGTTAAACTGGGGTGAGACGTCAAGGGATAAATGACTTAAAGAAAAATACTTTAATTTTGTTTCAGAATTCACACAGAGCAAAAGTTAGTATTTACAGGTGTGACTGGGTGGTTGAGTGAATTCATGTGGTGTCAGAGACAAGAACTATAAATCACACTGATTCAGTTCCACAATAGGCAGCAGCAGCAGTCTTTTAGGTGTGTCTGAATCTCTGTAACAAGTCCTCATCATGACCAGAGGGCAGTTTACTGCAAACGACCTGACCTGACTAAGCTCAGGATGTGACTCACTGGCTTTTCCTCTGAGCTGGAGGTGACATGAGGTGAAGCTGCAGGCAGTACAGCTCTGTTTAACAAAGAGCTTAAAATGTGAGTTAGCAATAACTGAGCCCATTTGCTATTCCACTTCAAGAATACATCTGTTGTGCATGCAAGCAACATGGATAATTTTGAGAAGCAGTCAGAAAGTATGTATATCTGTGTCTTCCAAACTCACGTATATAAAGACTGTCAAATGCCCAAAAACTCCTGGATAGTGATAGCACAAACATTGTAAAGTGAAACCCGAACTATGATGTGTACTGCAGTAGGAGGGGTTTCCCCTGGAGCTTTGCAACATTTGTCTTGTGGATTATAAAAGGTATGCATAGAAAAGAACATCCTGCTACTACGCAAGACAAAGTTAGAGAGACCAGACTGAGAGGGTTTGGACATGTCCAGAGGACGACAGTGGTAGAATTATTATTATTTATTGGTAGAAGGATGTTTGAGATGTAAAAAGACAAAGAGGAGATATATGCAGTTAGAGAGGACATGGAGGTAGTTGGAGTGAAGACAGTGATCAGAGGACAGTGTTAAATGGTGAGGGTCTTTCTCCTTAATCTGTAGGTTATTTATTTCTATGTCTTAAAGTAAGTTTGTTATAAAACCCAAGCAATATTGTTGGTCATGTTATAAAGCAAAATAAAAACTTAATTTTGGTTGCATTCTTTTACTGCTTTAATCAATTTTTAAAAATCTGATCATATAAAAAAAACATCTGGAAAGGGCATCCCTATTCATCAGAAGTCTATTATGCTGTTGCTTCATTTAAATTTTAGACAAAACATTCCTCCATGTACAGTCTGTATTAATAACAACTTCTAAGAAGCCTTTACCACAGACAGCTTAAAAAAGAAGAAGATTGGTTTCCTTCAGGTACTGCGCTGCAATATAAATAGGTCTGCTCTGAAAGGACTCATGAGCTCTCCCAGACATTTCTGGCTCTTACCAAATGTTTCACAACAATATTGTAACTTTAACAAGGAACCTGCATTAACTTGTTTTCTGAACAATAAAATACCCACGAACTGATTTTAAGGCCTTCTCTCTTTCATGTTGTAGAAAAAAGCAACTTTAAAAAAGCCAGTACATAATCATTATAGCCATTAAACAGCAGAACAAGACAATCATCTACTTAATGTTGTTATCCATGTCTGAGCTCCTGTTCTGACAGTGCAGGACACGAGGCCCCCAAATCAATTAATTGCACGACAAATTAAAATGAGGTCGATAACTTTCATTTGACTGATTGCCTTCTTCGTGTCTCCCTCTTTTCTACTCCTTACCGTTGGGAGGAGTGAACTCTTGAATCAGGTATTTGTCAGGCACATGGTCTGTAACCTTTGAAGCATGAGAGCCCCGTGTACAGGCATTTAGCTAGAGAAAGGTCTTCGGTTTTCTGACACCTTAATTTAGCTGGCGACAAATCAGGCTGCCTTCAAGGAACTGTGCTGAACCTCAGGTTCCAAGACATGCAAAATAAATTGTGCCTGCTTGGATAGAGGTGGGTATCAATGTTACAGCTTCAGTAGCCGTTTTGTTGTTTTCATGATCTCCACTCCCGGTCCATCCTTAGATTCACAAAAAAATCGTTAATTTCCATAAATTTTCCATAAATTTTGTAAGCGGCGTGATGGGGACTGCAGTTATTCTATGAAGCCAGAGGAAGACACAGAATAAATTGTGTCAACTTGGATAAGGGTGGTGGGAAGCAGTTTTACACCTTCAGCAGCTGTTGTGTCATTTTCCCAATCTTTGGTCCCATTCAGTTCGTAACCGTTTTTTTTTTACATACGTAAATTTCATGAACTTCTGCAAGCTGGAGTGGTGGTAATCATTACATTTGTTTAAAATGATCTCCAAACAATATTACTGTTTATTGCAATAATTTCTGAGAGAATTTATCGTTGAGCAAAATTTGTTATTGTGACAGTCCTATTGGAGACACTTGTAATTAATATTAAGCTGAAATGTAAAGATTAAAATAAAAGGGTAGAAAATAAAATTTAACATAATGCTGATGCTGGTGGGGTCTCTGAAGGTTGATCTTTACTCAAGTCCTCCTTGATGAATGTCATACTAATGTTGGTACAAAGGTAGAAATCAAATTTGGCTTGACGGCTTATAAAATCCAGATGAATGGTGATTGGTACAGCCTTTAGAGATGCTTTTTTTACTGCCATGAAAAAGAAAAGGCATTATTTTCTCTGAGCAATGCACAACAGTAGCAACTCGTCAAACTATTTTAAGAACCGATAGAAGATGCAGTATGCACTTGGCCTCATGATACAAACTGTTACTGTTCATTGTTATCACTAAAGTTATTATAAGTATTGTTCTTCGTCTTTACTGCCCTAACAGTCAGGTGCATGTTTGTCCATCTGCAGCAGAATGCAAAATAGGAAGAGGACAAGTCTGCAGAGGCACATTGATGCTGGGGGCAATGTTCTGCTAGAAAAAAACTTTGGGTTCTGGCAATCAACATCTACCACCCACCTAAATATTCTTTCAGTCAGAACACACAGATTATTGCTTCATGGCAACATTATTGCAGAATATTATTGCTAAATTGTTAGAACTGAAGGCAACAGGAACACAGATCAAGATGACAAAGTCTTGGATTACGAAATGCCTTGTAGATACGTGTTTATAGGTCAGTCTCTAATGAAAACAATTTGTGGTGGAACTTTAGGAATATAAAAAGTGGTCTGTATAAAAGACCCAGCTGTTGTCTGTTGTGAGCGTAGGAAAACAAACTGTGTAAATGCAATATTTTTACCATTTATGTGGAGAAAAGGCAAACAGAAAAAGGTGATAAGTTGACTGTAAGTCCAGATCAAATGAAGAGGCAGAGGAAGCGACTGAAAACCAGAGCACAGGGGTGTGACTAAGCTGGCTCACTGACTCATGCTGTAGAGGATGACACTGAGAAAATGCTCCTCCGCACCAAATGGCTCATGGTTAAAATCTGTGTGTATACATAAAGCAGCAGTTTCTTAAAAAGATGGGTCAATCACAAAAAAAGCGACATGATTAAAAGTCGATGTTACTATTTTAGTTGATAAGATGGGATTTTTCTATGAAGCCAGTCAAGGATCAGGGGAAGAAATACAATTTGATGAGTACGTGCAGCTGAACTTGTCTAGGTTTTCTCTTAAAATCACATTAGTCATTTAGAAGTCACTTTTTTACATTTCCTTGAAATGCTCTTCCCACAGCTAAATTATAAAAAAGCCAGTGTATAATTTAGAATATTTTTTATCCTTGGGCTGCTTTGAACTGAATACCTCTCTAAGAAACATAAAGTGTTTTGACCCAGGATGCCCAGATGTGAAAATTTAAAGAATGCTTCTACTTTTATGAGAGATCACAACTATGTGTGACACAAACATCAGATGTAGAAATGTGAAAAATAGCTGATCACATTTATCAGTCAGAAATGATCACCAACCCACCAGATGAGACTGATTTATGAGAACATGCAGAATAAAAAAGGTCAGACCAGCTCCTGTTGGCCACAAAACTGGACTGTACCAGACCCTGAGCCCACTCCAAGATGGGTCCAGTTTTGCACTGTAGAGGTCAACCTGTGTTCACCAGGAGTGGAGCTGTAAATTCTAGAAACCATCAGTTTTAGCCAATGAGAGGTGACCAAATTAGAGATAAAGTTGGCCACTGAAGAAAAGTAAATGTGTACCTTTTTCCTGACATGCTTGTTGTAACCCTATCCTTTATGCATAATCTGAAGTGATGTAATATAAGTAAGTGTGTGTTGTGGGAGGGAGTGACATTCAGTGGGGTTACAAGATTTTTAAAATGAATGTTATTTATTAAATGGTCAAATATAAAAAAACAAAAAGTTTCGAACATTCAGATAACCAATTGTTTGGTCATGTGTGAAAGATGGATATGCCTCTATGCTAATGTTTGAACATATTAATATTTAACACAAAGTTCCATTTTTGATAAAGTTCCATGAGGTTGGGGCATGGTGCGGGAGGAGGGGGTGATGATTTAATACCCCTAATTTACACTAGAAGCGGTTCTGCTCCACTCTGCTGCAGTGTACATTTCACCGTCATTTATTTGCACCCCAATTTGTACAGCTTTCGCTCTGCTCCGGTGAGAACCACAGAGGAGGTACGAGAAGCGTGTGCAGAAAATGTGAGGTCATGCGATAAAATATGGAGGCCAATATTAATTAATTCTGTGGTGGAAGATTGACTCCAAACACAGTTAAAACTGCATCGCTGTCGTCT